AGTTTCTAGATAATCTAGCCACCGAGTACAGTTACCAGTGTCACAGAGAGAAAGATCCGGAAGGTAATGAAATAAATTAGCCGCTTGTAAAAATGTACTTGGTGATATGTAAGATTATTTAGTACCGGAGGAGACCAATTGACCCATCCTGCTTACACCATTTATGTACGAGTTCTTGTGCTATAGCCCTATAAGAATAATATGTAATTCTTCTTTGCGACTTACTTTTGATTCTGTTTCTGGTGTGTTTCAAGACAGGTGGCGTCTTCCATTTTTAAAACAATCCATCTTTGTCCTGTCTTGGCTCTTTAAAAGTATTGCCTTTAGCTCTTTTTTCGATAATAAGTACAAGGCATGGAATATATGTCGTCATAGTAACAAGTTAAATGAAAAATTTTAAGCCAATCAGTTATTTTAAAACTTTCGTTTATATTCGGGTCCTATGAACTCTTTACAACTACGACATAGATCTTACGTTAGAAATTCCACGTAAACTCTTTATGCTGTGATACACCGCAGTGGCGGTGCTGCCGAGTCACTCCTGACAGGAGAGAGCAGTTAGAACATTAGATTTACTTTGGCAATTTTAATTAAGAATGTGAACTTTGGAATTTACATTGAAAAAACATAAAAATGACAAGTATATAGATTTAAAATGGGAAATGTTTTATGTGTGGACTTTAACCTCTTGTGTCTAAGCTTATCCCACTTGATGGATATGCTTTGCCTTGATTCTGTGTGTCGTGCCTGAGTCTAAATTCAAACCTTAAAATAGTGTGATACAAAATAAAGACCTAAAGATCTGCGGATGCTGTAAATCAGAAACAAAAGTCGAAATTCCTGGAAAAGCTCAGCAGGTCTGACAGCATTTGTGGAGAGAAATCAGTTAACGTTTCGGGTTGAGTGATCCTTCCTCCGAACTGATGGAGGTCCATTCGTTCGGAGGAAGTTTCACTCGACATGAAACTTCAACTCTGATTTCTCTCCGTAGATGCTGCCAGACCTGCTGAGCTTTTCCAATAATTGCTGTTTTTGTTCCTTAAATAGCATATGTGCCTTTTCTGTCATGTCTTTCCTCACTTGTACTTACGGTTAAATTTCTCTCACTTTTAAAAAACAAACGGAAAGAACTCATCTTTCCACCTAGTAAATGAGTGATGAACACGCTCAAAGGGTTGTTTGGCCCACTCTTGTTGTTATGTCCAGTGTATTGCCATGGTACAAGCATGACTGTGTGCAAGCCTTTCCTGTAACTGTTTTCACAGAGTTTCTGAAGTATATAGACATGAAGTAATTTGGGTGGCATTTATGCCTCCAGATGTAGACAGACCCATTTCCTGAGATGGGTTTTCAAACTATCATTAGATTTGAGAGTTTCTAATGGCAAATGTAAACAGAGTACCTGCCAGAAGGTAAGCTCCTAATTGGCCATCAATTGTTACACAATTGAATTCTGTTTTCCATATTACACAGGGAGAGTGATTTGAGGAAGACACACCTACCTGGGAAAAAGTGGCACTGGGAGGGCATTTTCTCAAAACTGGTACAAAAAGAGATGAAGTGCATATTCCGAGTTGAACCAGTTAAAATTGATTCTTATTTTTCTATGGTTTTACAATGAAATAAACCTACTTGTGGTTATCATAGTATATTGTTACATAATTTAACCACTTTTAATTGAAAACATTTTTAAGTAAATCTATTAAAGTTACTTACCAGACCAGCTGGAGTATGTAGTGTGGTTTTTGTTTAATTAACTTTTTTCATAAAGTTTAACACTTAACTCTTGTCAGGGTGTCAAAGGCTTGCTGATTACTTGGAAGGAATTAAAAAAAATTATGAAGCAGCTGCTCAAGTCTTGAAACACAACTGTGAGGAAAACCAGCATGGAGAAAGCTGCTATAAACTTGGCTCTTATTATATAGTTGGAAAAGGTACAGTGTATCTTGTTTCACGCTTCTTCTATCTTTATTTTATTATACTTGCTTGCATCAACATTGTTGACAGGCTATCAGTTACAGAATATTTTAAACGACGTACGGGAGCTGAGAGTACAGTTGTCTTTAGCCATTGGAAATCAGATGATAGCTTGCTATAGCTCTATAATACTGAGTTTTCTTTGTAAAAATGTGAAAAGCTGGCTGAAGTAGACAGCTACAGTCACTTTTTTTTTTTTGAAAACATGCTTGGTAATAATACTGCCAGTTAGCAAAAAACTAGCAAGGTGTACTTTACATAGAAACGTAGAAAATAGGTACAAGAGTAGGTCATTCAGCTCTTCGAGCCTGCACCACTGTTCAATATGGTCATGGCTGATCATGCAATTTCAGTATCCCATTCGCACTTTCTCTCCATACCTCTTGATCCCTTTAGCCGCAAGAGCCACGCCAGCTCCTCCTTGAATATATCTAATGAACTAGTCCCAATAGCTTTCTGTAGGAGAGAATTCCACAGGTTCACAACTCTTGAGTGAAGAAATTCTTCCTCATCCCAATGGCTTACTGCTTATTCTTAGACTGTGACTCCCAGTTCTGGACTTCCTCGACATCGGAAACATTCTTCCCACATCTAGCCTGTCCAGTCCCATCAGGATTTTATGTTTCTATGCGATTTCCCCCTTATTCTTTGAAATTCCAGTGAGGACAAGCCCAGTCGATCTAGTCTTTCTTCATATGTCAGTCCTGCCATCCAGGAATCAGCCTGGTGAAGCTTTGCTGGAATGTCCTTCCTCAGACTAGGAGACCAAAACTGCACACAATACTTGAGGCATGGCCTCACCAAGGCCCTGCATAACTGTAGTAAGACATCTTTACTCCGATACTCAAATCCTCTCACAAAGAAGACCAGCATGCCATTAACTTTTCTCACCTCCTGCTGCACCTGCATGCCAGCCTTCAGCGACTGTTCCACCATGACACCCAGGTTTCGTTGCACCTCAACTTTTCCTAAACTGCCACCAATCACATAATAATCTGCCTTCCTGTTTTTGCGACCAAAGTGGATAACCTCACATTTATCTACATTATATTGCATTTATCAAGTATTTGCCCGCTCGGCCAAGTCACCCTGAAGCCCCTTAGCGTCCTCCTTACAGAACACCCTGCCACCCAGCTTCATGTCATCTGCAGATTTGGAGATATTGCATTCAATTGCTTCATCCAAATTGTTAATGTATATTGTGAACAGCTGGGGTTACATTTGACCTCACTGCACTAATGCTGTGAAACTGCAGCATCAGTTACAAGAACACATCCCTGCACTGATACAGGGACCAAATTGACCTTTCATTGATTCATATTAGCTTGGTGTTCATCGTTGCCACCAAACCTGTCTAATATTGGCATCCATAAGACCATAAGACACAGGAGCAGAAATTAGGCCATTAGGCCCATTGAGTCTGCTCTGCCATTCAATCACGGCTGATAAGTTCCTCAACCCCATTCTCCTGCTTTCTGCCCATAACCCTTGATCCCCTTGATAATCAAGAACCTATCTATCTCAGTCTTAAATGTATGCAATGACCTGGCCTCTGCAGCTTTCTGTGGCAGTGAATTCCATAGATTCACCATTCTCTAGCTGAAGAAGTTTCTCCTTATCCCCGTTCTAAAAGGTCTTCCCTTTACTCTAAGGCTGTGCCCTCGGTTCCTAGACTCTCCTACCAATGGAAGCATCTTCCCAACATCCACTTTGTCCAGGCCATTCAGTATTTTGAAAGTTTCAATTAGATCCTCCCTCATCCTTCTAAACTCCAATGAGTATAGTCCCAGAGTCCTGAAACATTCCTCATATGTTAAGCTTTCCATTCCTGGGACCTGCTCTGAACCCGCTCCAGGGCCA